TTATTGGCAAAGCCAGCAGCCTATCACCTAGGTCGACTTCTAGTTCCCCCTAACGCTGATCAGATTTTGATCCTGTTTTTTCCTCCCCCGTCCCCCTGCCCTGATAGCTGTTTTTTCTACCAACCCACATAGTTTATTTACTTAATTACCATATAAATGTAAAGGCCTGATGAGAATTATCGAAAAACAAACGTATGTTCGTCATTTCATTGCCCAAAATTTTCAATGGGAATTTTCGAAATAAAATCTCCTATCAGTTAAAATGTTAAGCCGTGAAGTTGAAGACATGAATTGATGGAAGTATTTGTTACCGTTGTATTTTCCGTGGTGAAAGCACGCGTAACCCGGTCATAGTCCGGGTGGACTTCGCATGTTTTTATGCTAACTTTATTTTGCGAAAAGTGCCATTGAAAAGTTCAGAAGATGAATGAATAAACATACATTTGTTTTCGATAAATTCTCGTCAGGCTTTTACATTTATATGGTTATTAAGTAAATAAACGATGCGGGTTGGTAAAAAAATAGAACGGTTGTCAGAGCAGGGGAAGGGGGGGACCGGGTCAAAATCTGATCAGCGTTAGGGGGGACTGGTAGTCAACGCAGGTGATAAGCTGCTGGCTGTTATATTGGCGGCTTTTGCCCATAGTAACTACGGCGCGCGACGAAGTTCTTTTGGGCGCACAGGGCCGGTCAGCGTAGCCTGATGGCGACCGCTTCTGCCGTAGGCAACAGACGCTGTCCAAGAAATTTTGAATAGCTTGAGAGTACCTTGCAGATCACTCGGAAGGCCTCCCTGGCATCCAAGCGATGGTCTGAGTCTTCCAGGTGCGCTAGTACAGAACTGCTTATACCCTTTAGTTAGCCATTTCTTACCGTGCTGGAATGTGTTCTCATACTCTTTTGGACAAACGCCGGCTCGTACGACCAATATATTCTGCCCCATAGGAGCTAGCTTTATCAATGTTTATAAGTTATTTAGAAAGTGAAATCCTTAGTTGTTGGTATTTCTGCGATTTTGCGTATAATGCTGGTAATAACTAGCTGTTCTAATTGAAAATACTGTTTAGGTCTAGTGCGGTAGGTATAAAGGCAGATTGTTTGACTTAAAAGGAGAAAACTTTTGTGCTTACATATATTTACTACAAAACTCACTGGATCTTGCAAAAGGTAGATTTACTTCGAGAAAGTTATGCTAGATAATATGTTAAAATACTATCCTCACTCCTTGAGATGATGTGTATGTGTACTTTAATTTTTACTCAAAAAGCAACAGGGATTATTTTACATCATTCTAAAAATAGAGCCGGCTAAAACGTCATAGGTTTCAGTGCTGCAGCGACACTTAAAAAGACGAAAGTTTATAAGGTCTAGTTGACAGCCCAGAAATGCCTTTTGAGTGCTCTTAACGATGATTATAGCTCACCGCATAGTTTATAGCTGTAGCTATTCTTTATTAGCTGTACCCACCCTGCCACTTCAAGTAAGCTACATTGGGACACGACAGTCAATGCAGTAGGGAGAACTTCAAGAAGGGTTATTTTTGTGCGTGCGGTTAAGACATAAAAGGAGCCTTCAGGCAAATTTAGTTGCTTTTTCTAAATATGTTAAAGCTAAACAATACAACATTTAAAAATATCCAAAAATTCAATTTTCCGCAGCCAAATGGTGGAAGACTTATAGTTATAGGGTGATAATAGAAACAGAAGAACTCTCTAGGTAAGGTTTATGAACCGTTGTCAGCCCGACGGTCTGACCGTCAATTCTGACGAGGTCTAACGTGTACCCCCATAGGATGGGGGTATCGAGGAGTGTTAAGTCTAAGTGAGGTTTAACCCTAAGGGTTGCGATCTTCTAGGCCCGGTTCCACAGGAGAGGAGAGAGGAGTCTTGGAAAGGCCGGAGTAGTAGGATGAATATCTTCTTTACAGAATGAAGGCAGTAGGAAATTGATTACCAGACGGCCGCACAACCGCAAGCCAGCGGACGGCGTCGGAAGTGAGGTCTGCTTGGCAGTCGTAACATAAAGGCCTGTGTGAGTTGGTCTGTGATTGGCTGTTACAGAGACCGGAAAAGAGTGGGCTCTTCCGAAAGTGCACTTCGACTTTAGCTAGTCACGACAGGCGTTCACAAGTGCA